ACAGATATTCTCACTCATGTGCTGTGCTGCTGATTAACATGATATAATTTCAGTTCTGTTGCCTTTATATAAAAATATATATGATGAACAAGACACTCAAAGTGCTTGCTATATAATTCCATATGAAAGGCGTATTTATCATTCATTTGTACTTTAATACAAACATGTATTAAATTAAAATTTTAGATTTTTATATAGCAACTGCGCCCGACTGCACAATCTGACACAGCTGCCTCGCCGTTGCGAGTTTTTTATTTTTTGCACACATCAGCATGTCATCAGAGCAAGTCGGACGTAACTCAAATTCCAATGATGCTCACAAATCTGTGATTTTATAACAGTAAAAGCATTTTTAGTGTAGTTACACTGTTATATTGAGTCACGTTTCAAAAAACACTGATTAAAGCATATATTAGGGATGCACGATATATCGGCCACCATATCGGTATCGGCCGATAAATGCTCATTTTTTCTGTTATCGGGAAAGAGGCACAAAATCACTTACACAGACTTTTTCATTAACTTTTCCCCCCTGGTGGAATGACCTGCCAAAATCAATCCGAGCAGCTGAGTCCTTAACCATCTTCAAGAAACGACTAAAAACACATCTGTTCCACTTCTATTTTAATTCTACTTTATCTATATTTATCTTTTTTTATTTAAAAAAAACAACAAAAAACAAACACTAGCTTTCTATTTTTTCTATTCTATCTACTTGTTTTTCTTTGTTTGTGTGTGTGTGTATAATATATATATATATATATATATATACACCTTGCTATGAGTACTGCGTTAGGCTAACAGAGACTTGTTATTTGCACTTATATATTGTTGCTCTTTTGTTAGTTTTGACTGCTTTTATTGTCCTCATTTGTAAGTCGCTTTGGATAAAAGCGTCTGCTAAATGACTAAATGTAAATGTAAATATACCCCCACTTTATTGGTATTTAAATCGCATATGCTAATGTTGAACTTATTCATGAACAGATGGCGCTGTATTAAGCAGTATATAAAAGTGTTTCTGTTGTTTTATGAAAACGTTTCTGAAACGTCTGTGTATTTGACAAATATTGCATTTAATTCACTTCATCTGTGATAGAGTATGCAAACACTGCGAGAGCGTCATTACCAGGAGCAAGTGGCTACTCTCTCCAGCCAGAGGCAGGCTAGTGTAGTTCCTCTCGAACATCCTAGTCTTCTCGAGCGCTGCTGATGACTTCCGTAACCACGGAAGAAACACGTTAAGCGGCACGCTCTAGCTCTCGCTTGGGTCGCTGAGTGCGCATGCGCATAAGAATCCAACTCTTAACAGTGTAAATAACTCAGAATGCATGAAATTACATTAGACCCCCCGTTAAATGCAGCATATTGCAGCGACAAGCGTGTTGCCAGTGACAACAGATAACTACCACACATTCGCATAAACTAGCACAAGCATTTAACTGAAAACAACTAAATGAGCCTAAACAAAACATGGATAGACTTAGCAACATGCATGTTGCAGATAACCTGAGAGCATTAATGGGAACTTAGCTTGTGAATACGTTCGAGAGAGTGAAAAATAGCAGCTGTGAAGTGGATGCTTGATCTCTTGATATCCTTCTTGAGGATGAAGTTCCCATCTGAACTTGTTCTCGAGTAAATTCATGTGTTCAAGTTAACGAACTTGAATGAATCGGAGGTGAGAACAATGGGGAAACAAATTCCACTTCTCGAAATTCCCGATTCCTAGTGATGATGGTGTTTTGCCTGCCGAATTCGCCATTTAATTAGCTATTGAGCAATGCGAAAACTGCTGATAATACTGAGGGACCTTATATATGAATGCTTAGATAGGTGTCGTATTCCCATAGGTAGATGGGGATCAGCTGAGAGTCAGCTGATGCAAGCTTGACTAACGTGACCTGCCAGAACTAATGTTACGCTTGATTTATAGCCTAATACTGGTGTTATACTTTTAGTCATTCTGATTTGAATTGCCTTCATTTTTGAGTTGACCTCTAAAATGTAATGTCTACATTTTGGCTAAGAAATATTTAGCATTTTTTCCCTTTTTTTAAAATATTATTCTGAACATGGCTCATGTTTAAGACACGTTTTTACCTTCGTATTTATTTGACTTCATGCATCGTTTTCTGCAAAGATATTTAACCAGTGGTGTATAATGTACCTGAAAGCCATACTCAAGTAAAAGTACAGATATCTTACCATATCTCAGAGGGGACATGGATGCATTTAAACTGCAGTTACAGATGCCTAAATAGGCCTAATGTTTTGTTTTTAACATAAAACATTGAGTACTGATATTTGAAATAATTTAAAACATGAAAAAAAAAAGTCGAAATGTGAAATTAAAACCGCCAGTAGGTTGCAGCAAGTGACTGTTAATGAGTGAGTCATTGAGATTCAACCGATTCATTCAAACGACTGATTCATTCAGGTCAGCTGATGCAAGCTTGACTAACGTGACCTGCCAGAACTAATGTTACGCTTGATTTATAGCCTAATACTGGTGTTATACTTTTAGTCATTCTGATTTGAATTGCCTTCATTTTTGAGTTGACCTCTAAAATGTAATGTCTACATTTTGGCTAAGAAATATTTAGCATTTTTTCCCTTTTTTTAAAATATTATTCTGAACATGGCTCATGTTTAAGACACGTTTTTACCTTCGTATTTATTTGACTTCATGCATCGTTTTCTGCAAAGATATTTAACCAGTGGTGTATAATGTACCTGAAAGCCATACTCAAGTAAAAGTACAGATATCGTACCCTGTATTTAACAAGTTCATTTGTTTTACATATACACCATGCTAACCACTGTCATGTGTGGTGAATTTTCTTTAAGTTTTAATAAAGAGAATTTTACTTGAATCATATAAGTTGACTAGTTTTTTTTTTTTTTTTAGGAATGGCGATATGGCAAAATATTTATAAATATATAACAGTAATTAACAAATGTGTATATATGCCACCACATCATCCAGCCCTAACTGAAAGAGAAAATAAATGTTAAAAAAGACATTAAAAGTGAAATGTAAGGGACGCATACACTTTTGCAGGAACAAGTCAGATATCTGGAAGCTCGGTGGGTAGCACTGTCACCTCAGTAGGGTTTCCCCATAATTCAAAGACATGCAGGTCAAGTGAAATGAGACACTAAAATTGCCGGTGGGTGTGAGTGTGAAAGTGTGTATGTCTGTGTTAGCCCTGTGATAGACTGGCCATCTGTCCAGGTTGTTTCCCTGCCTATGGCTCTAGCATCCTACAGAGGGCAATCGTTTTGAAGAATAGATGGATGGATGTCAAACATTGGCTACACACCAAAACAGAGAGGAAAGTATAGGCCCTACAGTTGGTGTTGCATAAGAATATCTAAAAAATTAAGCATTGCAAAATTGCTGTCAAGAGAATTAGACATAAATGTCACAATAACTGTGATGTCTCATTCTGATATGACCGTTATGGCAGTCAAAAAGCTGAGGGAATAATAACGCAAATAGTCATATTTCAAATCACTGCTGATCTCAACCACATTCACATCAGAACATAAAAATAAATATCCTACTCCCCTCCACATCATGAAAAGCAATAATGAAATAACACTTTAATGCATTTTCTGTTTCCTGTTGTGTGGGCTGCTCTCTGGCTCTGTCTCAGTGGCCCTGAACCACTGTACTGATGGAACCTGCATAGATGTGTCTATGTGACAAAACGATCAGACGTAAGTGATAAATACAGAAATGGAATAATGAAACCCTTATGCATAAAAAAATGGTTGTCACATCTTTACAGGTATTACTTCTGAGTGCACATTTAACAATTTTTACTGCAAGCCCCTTTGAAAATTCTTCTTTATTCACATTTGCTTCAACAGCAAAAGAAAACATGTACATTTCACATTTCTACATCTTCTAAAAGAGAGGCAAATTGTAGTTAACAAATAATTGTTTAATTAGCTTATATGTAAAGCATTAGATAATGTTTTATTATCCTTTGTTAACAACTTTTTTAACCATACCTAACTCATGTACAGTTTTTAAACTAGCAGTAAAGGAGTTGTTAAAGGGTTAGTTCACCCAAAAATGAAAATTAGCCCATGTTTTACTTACCCTCAAAGCATCGTAGGTGTATTTGACTTTCTTCTTTCAGATAAAACCAATCAGAGTTATATAAAAAAAAAATCTTGCTCTTCCAAGCGTTTGAATAGGAGTAAACGGGTGTTCCCTATCGATACTTCACTCGTACTGTGTCGCTAGACGCATATGGGGAAAAACTCCTTTTTCTCCGAGGACTGAAGACTTATTCAATCACGCAGTGTAACTGCACGGCAATTGGTTCGTGCAGTGATTATAAAACTAACCAATGGCAGTGAAGTCCGCGCGAGCCCGCCAGAATGGGCGGGGCCTTTGTGCAGTGCTTCTAAAACGAACCAATGGCTTGGCAGCAGTGCTGCACGAGCCTATGGTGGTGAAGCCCGCCAGAGCCCTCCAGAATGGGCAGGGCCATCTGGCTATATAAGCGGGCATTTCACCATAGGATCTCAGATCAATTCTCCTTCCGCGACGACGATCTTCCTTCGCTGACCTTCAGGACTTGAAGACGCTCGCCGTAGAAACGCCTTGCTGCGGATAGAAGCTGCCATCTCTTCTAATTACTTTACTGAACTTGTATAAAATTATTATTAAATGCGTTCATGTCGATATCTGCAGAAAAACGGTACTCTTTGTGTGATATAAATTGTTAACTATATTAAATTATATAAATATAAAAAGCATACAGAAGCATTTTTGCCATCTACAATTTAGAATGCCTCGAATTTTGAGTCTTAATAGATTAATAAATCAACGTGCGTGCACTCTGGTGATATAGCCTACTTGATAATGTCAGATCGCACATCATTACAACAACACTTACCATATTATCGCAGACGACATTTCACCATAGGATCTCAGATCAATTCTCCTTCCGCGACGACGATCTTCCTTCGCTGACCTTCAGGACTTGAAGACGCTCGCCGTAGAAACGCCTTGCTGCGGATAGAAGCTGCCATCTCTTCTGCGCCCTCTCGCCGCTCCGCCTGCTCTTCGAGCTGCTCAGCGACCAGCGCAAACGCCAGCTCGTCCCCTACTGCCATCCGGCGAGCCTAAAAAAGCAAATTTCTCACTAAAAGAGCACCGGCGTTGTTTCAAATGCCGCGCCGTTATTGCACGTCGTGCAGTATTGCACTGCACGATGGTGACAGCCACCCAGAGTGCATTTCCTGCTTGGGCAAGCCCCACGCGGAAGCCGCTCTGACCGAGATGGATTGTTCACATTGTGTGAACATGAGTCTCGCCACTCTTCGCGCTCGGATCGCTTTCTTTTTAGAGAGCGAATTTGCCCCTCGCGCCCTCCCGTTTTCTTCCTCCCAGGGATCTGTGAGGAAAAAACAGCGGGGCAAAGGGACTAAGCGCTCGGCCCAGATCCCGCGCGCCTCGCCCCCGCCAAGCAGAGGATTCTCTAGTTCTCTTTCAGCACGCAGACCAGCGTCCCTTGGCTGATGTGAGCGACATGGTCTCGTTCGGTCCCGTAGAGAACGAGCTATTAGATGACAGCATGTCTCGAATAGCATCAGACGCAGAGGAGATGTCAGGCTCTATTGCTGACTCCGCCCCTTCATCGTCTGCCGAGCCCAGTGACTCTAAGCCAGGGATAGATGGCGAACTTTTCCGCATCCTTTCTAAGGCAGTTGAGGAACTGGGATTGGAGTGGTCTACGCCGGAGGAGCCCACTCGTAGCCGTCTGGACAAATGGTTCCTGCCGGGGTGCCGCCAGGCCCCTTGTCAGCGAGCCTCTCCGTTTTTCCCGGAGGTCCATGATGAGCTTACGAAGTTGTGGCGTGCTCCCTACTCGGCCCACCTTCGCTCTAACTCTTCTTCTGCTCTCTCCTCAGTGGACGGCACTGAAGAAAAGGGTTACGAGAGGATGCCTCCTCTCGACGAGGCAGTGGCTGCGCACCTTTACCCGCCCACTGCCATTGGATGGAAAGCGAAGGTCGCTCACTCCTCCAAACCTTGCAGGACGACTTCTGCCCTCGCTGGACAAGCGTATTCCTCCGCCGGGCTGGCCGCCTCAGATCTACACTCCATGGCTGTTCTCCAGGTCTTTCAGGCCAAACTCCTCCAGGCCATGGATTAGTCAGGAACTGATGCCGCAGCTTTCAGGGAGCTGCGTAGCACTACAGACATGGCTCTAAGGGCTACCAAGGCCACAGCGCAGGCCATAGGGAGATCAATGGCCAATCTAGTGGTGCTGGAGCGCCACTTATGGCTAAACCTCACCGAGATTAGGGAGGCTGACAAGGTTCCTTTCCTCGACTCCCCGGTCTCCCCCACGGGGCTGTTTGGATCTGCCGTCGAGGGATTTGCAGAGCGATTCACCGCGGCTCAGAAGTCGTCCCAGGCCATGCTACACTTATTGCTGAAACGCTCCAGCTCTGCAACGGCCCCAAGCCTGCTCCAGCATAGCAGCCAGCTAAAGTCCCCGCACGGCGACTCACCAACCGAATTAATCCAACCCCTTGTCACATGGGCCGAGGCCTGGCGGGCCATCCCCGGAGTGTCTCATTGGGTTCTGGGGATTATAGAACGAGGTTATTCACTTCAATACGCTCGAAGACCCCCACGGTTCAACGGCGTGGTCTCCACCTCAGTGCACAGCAGGAACGCTCACGTTCTGCGAGCCGAGGTAAAGAATTTGCTGGCAAAAGGAGCCGTAGAAACAGTTCCACCAGCTCAGAGCGAGTCAGGCTTCTACAGCCGTTACTTCCTCGTCCCCAAAAAGGATGGCGGCCTGCGGCCCATCCTCGATCTCAGACCGTGCCCTCATGAAACTGCCATTTAGAATGACTACAATGAAGCAGATTCTCTCGCAAATCCGCCCAGGGGGCTGGCTCTTTTCACTGGATCTGAAAGATGCTTACTTTCACATCCAGATAGCTCTCCATCACAGACGATTCTTGAGATTCGCCTTCGAGGGAGTGGCTTATCAATACACGGTCCTGCCCATCGGGCTGTCTCTGGCTCCCCGCACTTTTACGAAGTGCATGGACGTGGCACTTTCCCCTCTGAGACAGATGGGAATCTGTATCCTGAATTACCTCGATGACTGGCTCGTTTTAGCAGTCGGAGGCAGAGCTAATAGCCCACAGGTCCCTCCTCCTCAGCCACTTAGAGCAACTGGGACTAGGCTTCTACAGCCGTTACTTCCTTGTCCCCAAAAAGGATGGCGGCCTGCGGCCCATCCTCGATCTCAGACCGTGCCCTCATGAAACTGCCATTTAGAATGACTACAATGAAGCAGATTCTCTCGCAAATCCGCCCAGGGGGCTGGCTCTTTTCACTGGATCTGAAAGATGCTTACTTTCACATCCAGATAGCTCTCCATCACAGACGATTCTTGAGATTCGCCTTCGAGGGAGTGGCTTATCAATACACGGTCCTGCCCATCGGGCTGTCTCTGGCTCCCCGCACTTTTACGAAGTGCATGGACGTGGCACTTTCCCCTCTGAGACAGATGGGAATCTGTATCCTGAATTACCTCGATGACTGGCTCGTTTTAGCAGTCGGAGGCAGAGCTAATAGCCCACAGGTCCCTCCTCCTCAGCCACTTAGAGCAACTGGGACTCAGAATCAATTTTGCCAAGAGCTCTCTGTCCCCCAGCCACCGAACTTCGTTCCTGGGGGCAGTTTTCGACTCAGTCCACATGATGGCGATAGTCACGCCAGACCGTGCACTGGCCATACAGCAGCTCGCAGCTTCCTTCAGAATTGGAGCTTCCTACTCTCTCAAAAAGTTTCAAAATATGTTGGGCCTCATGGTCTCTGCATCACCGGTACTTCAGTTGGGCCTACTCAGAATGAGACCCCTTCAGTACTGGTTGAAACCTCTAATTCTGCCCCATGCGTGGCGTCATGGACGCATCCACATCAAGGTGGACCAGGCCTACGTGACGGCCCTGGCCCCCTGGAAGGACCAACAGTGGTTCAAGCAGGGCGTGACTATGGGATTGGTTTACAGAAGGAAAGTTGTCTCGACAGACGCATCCAACACAGGTTGGGGAGCTCTGTGCGAAGGCAGGCCGACCTTCGGCTCCTGGACGAACACGGAAGGCCAGCTACACATCAACTGCCTCAAATTGACGGCAGTATGTCAAGCTCTTCAGGCCTTCTTACCAGTCCTGAAGGGACACCACGTGCTAGTCCGATCAGACAGCATGACAGTGGTGTCATATATAAATCGCCAAGGCGGGCTCACCTCAAAACGCCTTTTTGAGATGGTAAAACGCCTCTTGGAATGGGCACATCTCAACCTGCGTTCATTGAGGGCAGCTCATGTACCCGGCGTACTGAACCAAGGAGCAGACATGCTATCTCGGAGCAACGTCTCCTCAGAGGAGTGGATGCTCCATCTACAGACGGTTCAGAAAATCTGGGAGATCTTTGGCAAGGCAGAGGTCGACCTCTTCGCATCAAAAGACAACTCTCACTGCCAAACTTATTTTTCAAAGAATGAGGACGCGTTGGCCCACGGATGGCCCAACCTCCTCCTGTCAGGCGAGTCAGGGAGCACAGGCACAGAGTGCTTCTGGTGGCCCCGCTCTGGAAGAACCATCTCTGGATCTCAGAGCTGTCTCAGCTGCTGACGGCAGCTCCGTGGCCCATTCCCCTGAGGCAGGACCTCCTCTCTCAAGCGAACCAAACAATCTGGCACCCCCAGCCCGAGCTGTGGGCACTGCACCTATGGGCTCTCAACGGGAATCAGTAGATCTCACAGAGAGCGTCCTGAGTACGATCTCACAGGCTAGAGCCCTGTCTATGAGACGCCTCTACGCACTTAAGTGGTCGACTTTCTCCGCCTGGTGCGAAATAACATGTGACATATCGGTGATATTGTCTTACTTACAAGAGCTGTTGGACAAGAGCCGCTCCCCTTCCACGCTCAAAGTCTATGCGGCAGCTTTAGCAGCTTCTCACGCTCCTATAGCCGGACAATCGGTGGGCCGGAACAACCTTGTTGTCCGTTTCCTGAGGGGATCCAGGAGGCTCCATCTGCCCCGGCTCCTCACGGTCCCTACATGGGATCAACCATCTACTACTATGGCCGTGCAGTTACACTGCGTGATTGAATAAGTCTTCAGTCCTCTGAGAAAAAGGAGTTTTTGCCCATAAGCGTCTAGCGACATTCTCAGGGAATCTCAGGGAACCGAGGTTACGAAAGTAACCGAGTAAGTTTTTTTTCAACTGTCCAAAAGTAATCAAATAATGATGTTATAAATACTTTTTTCTCACTTCTGCTGACTGTCATACGTGCAAGCCGTTCCGGTGGATGACGCAGAACGTAGGCGTCACGTGCGTGCCTGTGACATATGCTAGTCTCGCGAGTTTGTTTACAGGAGCAAAGTAAGCAAAGTTTCCTTAATTTAGCAAAGGAAAACCAGTCTCCTCTTGGCTTATAGCAAAATCCTCCTACATTTTACTTTAAATATCCTTGTTTTGTGCTTCTAATTCGTGACCGGTTTGTTTTGCTGTCTCTCCTCCGCGCTTCCGCGTTCGTCACTAATCACCGGCGCATACACGACACATACGTCCTACGTCATCCGCAGTAACGGCTTGCACGTATGACAGTCAGCAGAAGTGAGAAAAAAGTATTTATAACATTTTAAATATGGATATTTTCCTTAAAAAAACGATTCGCTTTGTTAATTTAAATGTATAAAAAAAGATAAAAAAGATGATTGAAGATTGAAAGTGAAATGATTGCAATGATTGCAATGATTGAAAAACTTTAACATTAGGTGGAATTGCGATTAATTTCTTCATTTCTCGATTGACAGCACTAATATATATATATACACACATATATATATATATATATATATATATATATATATAAACACAAAACATA